TTTGCTGATGATGTGATGATGTTTTGCAGGGGAAATGTGGATTCTGTCAATGTTTTGGCAAAAGCTATTAATATTTTCTCCCAAGTATCTGGCTTGCATGTGAACCCTCTCAAATCCAATATCTTTCTGGCTGGAGAGATCAAAGACAGGACAGAGGATATCCTAGCTTTGGTGCCTTTCCCTCAGGGTAAATTGCCTGTTAGATACCTGGGACTCCCTCTTACCTCACAGAGAGCTTCTGAAAGAGACTTTGCCCCACTTGTGAATAAGGTGGATGAACATATCAGAAAATGGAATGCCAAAACCCTGTCAGCTGCTGGAAGATTGGAACTCATCAGATCTGTCATCCAAGGAATTGAAGGATTCTGGTTCCAAGCTTTCCCTATTCATAAATCTGTCTTGGATAGGATAACCTCCCTTTGTAGAACTTTCCTTTGGGGGAGCAAGTTCTGTAAGGTTGCTTGGGAGGATATCTGCAAGCCCAAGGATGAAGGGGGGCTTGGTTTGAACCAGCCCTGTATTTGGAATCAGGCACTTTTGAGCAAGAACCTGTGGAATATTGCCTCAAACAAGGAAACTCTGTGGGTGCAATGTGTTCACTCTGTTTACCTTGATGGCAATGACTTTTGGACTTGGAGCCCTGGGAAAAAGGACTCCCATTTCTTCAAAATACTGATTGAAATCAGGGACATGCTGCTACTCAAGTGTGGGGACAGATGGGAACCTTAAAATCAACTTTGTGATCAGGGTGATATATCAGTTACCAAGGTGTATGACTTACTCAGAACCAGGGCGGTGATGAGACCCTGTGTAACACCCTAATCCGTCCAGGTCTGCAGCCCCTTTCGGACTAAAGTATTTAACTTGGTAATCGTAAAATTTAAAACTTTTCAAACACACTTTATTAATCTCAATAATATTTTTCATAACATATACAGTACGGAGTATTTAACAATATTGCGGAAGCGAACTTAATATTGACATATCATAAATCATTTCAAACTTGTCACATCCATCCCGACAATCTCGCCCCATCTGCCGTCAGGATCACATTAATCTTTCTGTTTACCTGCGTGTAGCAAATAAAACACACTACACGCTCAGCGGTAAAGCTGAGTAAGCATATCTAATGCGTTGAACATCCATATAAACTGAATCTAAATTCATAATCAAATCTTTTGATATNATCGATTATCAAACTTCAGAGAGGGCTGACAATCGATTATCACATTCTGATAATCGACTGTTGCTCAGCTTTGTTACAAAAATCTGCAGAACGATGAATAATCGATTTTCAAGTTGATAATCGATTATCCATCGTCTTCTACCTCGAGCCAAATTGCGGAAATGTCACTTTTACTCACCAAACTTCAATTAAAGTATATAAAAATGTTCTCCAAGGTTCATGGATCATTTTAGCATCATTAATTCATAATTTTAACATCAATTTCATGGTTTATGATTCTTAGTTCTTCAAGCATGTCTAACACAAAACTCAACCAAATGACCATCTATGAACGTAGAATCGATCTATATGAGCATTCTAGTCATTAGATATATCTACAGGCTTACCTCGAAGCTTAACGAAGGTTTTGGATATTTTCCGGCGAAACTTCCGGCGAGGTTTGTGGTTAGCTCCGGCGACTACAACAACAATCAACAACACCAGACCATTCTCCTCACTCTCAGGATTTATATGGACTAATTTTGAGAAAAAATGATGCATGTTTGAAGGTTTTGAGTACTCCTTATATAGGAGTTGATGAAGGGGAAGAGGACATTATTGAACTGCTTCTACATAGGAATCAGCTGAGTGGAGGAGGAGGCGCCGTTCGCACAGTGTCCCTGATTGGGACCAATTTTGGTTCCAGTCGGGGTACACTTTTTGGTCCAACTTTCTCCGAATTGAATTCCGTTTGCACCGTTGCGATCGGGCAGTTAAACTCTATCTAACGATATAATTTTTATATTTATTTGTAATACTTTTTCCGACATCATATTTTGACCTTAACAGAGTCAAAATTGGTTTAATTGACCTTTCTCATAAAAGATTCTCTCATTTAATTCATATCAATTATTCTAATGATTTATTTTCAACAAATCAATTCAATATTTACATTCTAAACAAATTCTTTATTTACTCTTGATTTGGGTCTGTACTCAGGTTCCCAATCAAGACCACACAAATAGTCCACATATTGGATTTATCTCTATGAGACTTATCCAGATTTTGATATTAGATGTCAAAACAAATTTCGTATCGGCCTAAATCCCAACAATAATTTATTTTAATCAAAACAAATTTGATTAATTGATTATTTATTCATTAATAATTCTAGGGTATATTTTGGGGTGTTACACCCTGGATGAAGGCTATTTGGAAACCCTACATCCCACCCAGATACTCCTTCTGTGCTTGGTTGATCTTCCGTAACAGGATTCCTACCAAAACTAGCCTTCATTTCATTGCTATGGAGAATAGATTATGTGAACTTTGCCACAAGGAGGAGGAAACTGGCCAACACCTTTTTTTCAGCTGTGAAACCTCCACACTCATCTGGAATGCTGTTAGATCTTGGCTTGAGATAGCCCCTGCCCAGTCTACCCTGGACAGAGCCCTTACTTGGCTAAGGAGACTGAGGAATAACCATTGCTCTAAGAGGAAGATGACAAGGCTGGCTATTCTCAGCACAACCTACCACATTTGGAGATTAAGGAATGGTGTGTATTTTGACAACCAGGCCATAAATACTGATGCTATTGTGTGCAAGATCAAGGTGGGGGTCTTTAAAATAATGAACAGGTTATATCCCAATGGTGGTTAAGGCCCCCCCCCCCCTTGGATTTCATTGATTGGTCTCCCTGGATGTTGCTTGTGATCTTTGTGCTTACCCTTCCTATCCTTGTTGAGGATTTGTTGGGCGTTTACCCTGGTGGGATGCTGGACAGAGGGCTAACACTGGGGTCCCTTGGGTAACTGGTGTTATCCCTATGCCCAGTTTCTCTGGGTCTGGAAACATTTCAAATGTTAGAAGCCCTCTTTGGAGGGTCTCTAACCTTTGTTATGGGTCCTTGGGGGTGATTTGGTGGGAAACAAACCAGGCTATGCTATCCCCTTCTGGAATTGTAGAGACTGGCTTGGGTCCAGGGTTTCTCTCTCTCCTGTTTCCCCCCATCCCCTTCTTTTCTTTCCATCACCTTCCTTCTACTCCCACTTTTCTAGGAGGCAAGTTAAATAATATGTGCCAAATCACTCCTTGGATTTGATACCTGTTAGCTTACCTTGGCTCCTCTTTGGGTGGTTGGGTTCCAGATAGCTTGGGTGCTATTGGGGTGTGGAAACAAACCATACCCTATCTACCCCTTCTGGATAGGTAGGGAATGGCTTGGATCCAGGGCTGGAGGGTGGTCTCACCCTCTTTTCTTTCTTTTTCCCCCTCTCCCCTTCTTCCTTCTTCTTGCTTCTCCCTCCTTTCTTGGTCTTCCTCCTCTTTTGTCCCTTCTTCTGTTTCTGGAAACACGCTAAGTTTCACTCATCCAAACCCTCTTTGTTTTGATGTTTGAAGGTTGGTGTGTCTTCCCTCTGGTGCTGGGTGGGTTGGGGCCCCATTGGTTCTGTGGACTAGTGGGGTTGTGAGGAAACAAACCAACCTCTATTTACCCCTTCTGGGTAGTTAGAGGTTGAGTTAGGTCCTGGTTTGTTGGTGTTCCACACCTCTCCTTTTCCTTGTCCACCCCTCTTCCCCTTCTCCTTTCTTTTGCTTCTTCCTCCTCCTTTGCCTCTCTCTCTTTCCTTACCCTCCTTCTTTTGCCTCTGAGAACACATCTGGATGCACTCACCTATACCCTCCTTTGGTTGAGTGACTGTAAACTGGTGTGCCTCCCCCTACCTTTATGGTTTCATTTTGGTTATTTATGTGGGTGACTTGGTTAACATATCTCTGGCTTTGCTTTGTGATCCCTCTCATCAGAGATGAGCACCATCACCTTATGCCTGAATAACTCCACCCTACCTCATTTGTGTGAGACAGGTTTTGACTTGGTCCTATTCAGTGCAAATGGTCCTTTGGTGCTTCTCAACCTCTGATGGACTTGGTTCTGCTGTTTTTGTGTCTTGACACTCTAACCAGAGTTGGAGGGCCTACGTGCAGTTCAGCCTCCTTCACCTGTTCAATGGTCCTTCATCTCTGTCTACTACCTAGATACCTGTACATGGATTTGTGGTGCTGTGATGCTGTGTGCATGATGCTGTGTGCTTTAAGTATATATGTGATGATGTAAATTATTATATTGTGATTAGGGCCTGATGCTTCTTGTCTACTCTTGCTGGAAGCTGTTGGAAAATGAACTCGGCCTGGTTTTGCATGTGGAATGGAATGGTCCTTGCCTAGTCAGTGCACCTTGTGTTTCCGGTGTACACCTGTTTCAAATTGTGTTTGATGTAATGGAGATGTTTGTCTCGTGTTAAGACAACCTCCTAATCTTGGTCTTGGCTGGATCACACTTGTATTTGTTAGTGTTTTGTATTTGTATTTGTTACACTTGAGTTGTAATTTCTTTTATATACCTGTAACTTAAGAGAGTAACCACCTTGTGGTTAAGCTGTTGACATTTTGTATTCGTTTGATTTGGGTAATAATAATTTACATGTTACCCGTTGAAAGAGCTCTCAAGGGAACAAATGGGCCAAATTGGATAGGGTAATGGTGAACTGTGAATGGGAGGCTCTACAGTGGGATTGTTGGGCTGAATTTAAGCCCATGGAGTTCCAATCTGACCACTGTCCTGTTCTGCTCCACCTCATCCAATCTTCTACCAGAGGCCCTAAACCCTTCAAATTCTTCAACATGTGGCTTAAACATGATTCCTTTGATAATACCTTGAAGCATGTATGGGACATGAGGATTAATGGTACTAGACAGTTTAGACTCTGCAGAAAACTTAAGTTGCTGAAACATCCTGTCAAACATTTGAACAACAAGGATTTTGCACATATCTCTTCCAGGGCTGAGGAGGCTAGAAAATCCTATACTGATCTCATGGATAAGCTTTACAAGGACCCTGATAACTTGGAGCTACTCCAGCTTGTTGCCATTACCAGGAAGAAAGCCTCTTTCTACTCCGATGCAGAAAGATCCTTTTTTCAACAAAAGGTGAAGTGTAACTTTATTAATGAAGGGGATAAATGCACAAAATTCTTCCATGCAATGGTGAAGAAGCAAAGTGTGTTGAATGCCATCCCTGTTTTGATTACATCCCAAGTGGATTGGAATGTCTTTAAAGAGGGCCCCCTGATCCAACACCAGGATGCAACTGAGTTGGTGAGAAATGTGGATAGAACTGAAGTTAAAGAAGCCCTATTCAGCATTGGTTATGATAAGGCCCCAGGCCCTGATGGTTATACAGCTGCCTTCTTCAAGAAGAAATGGGATATTGTTGGTGATACTGTTTTTGATGCTGTTTCTGAGTTCTTTTTGAGTGGGAGACTCCTTAAGCAGATTAACCATGCCTTGGTTGTCCTCATTCCCAAGATCAGGGAGAACCCTAGTGCCAAAGATTATAGACCCATAGCCTGTTCTAATGTGGTCTATAAAATAAACATTAAAATCCTTTCCAACAGAATGGCTGGACTGCTTCCTAGCCTCATTAATCCTGCCCAGGCTGGTTTTATTAAGGGCAGGAGCATTGTGGATAATATTCTTTTGGTACAACACCTGGTTAGGGGGTATGCTAGGAAGAGATCACCCCCTTGCAGTATGCTAAAGCTGGACATCTCAAAAGCATATGACACAATCTCATGGGACTTCTTGAGGAATACACTTTAGGGAATTGGCTTCCCTCCCACCTTTGTGAACTGGGTCATGGAGTGTGTTACCACTGCATCTTTCTCACTTTCTATTAATGGAGGCTTGCATGGCTTCATTAAATGCAAAAGAGGTATTAGACAGGGTGACCCCATGGCCCCAACTCTTTGTCTTTTCTGCATGGAATACCTCAGAAGGCTGATCAGGAGAATGCTCTATGGGAGCAGATTCACTTTCCATAATAGGTGCTCCAAACTGGGTATTACTCATGTTACCTTTGCTGATGATGTGATGATGTTTTGCAGGGGAAATGTGGATTCTGTCAATGTTTTGGCAAAAGCTATTAATATTTTCTCCCAAGTATCTGGCTTGCATGTGAACCCTCTCAAATCCAATATCTTTCTGGCTGGAGAGATCAAAGACAGGACAGAGGATATCCTAGCTTTGTTGCCTTTCCCTCAGGGTAAATTGCCTGTTAGATACCTGGGACTCCCTCTTACCTCACAGAGAGCTTCTGAAAGAGACTTTGCCCCACTTGTGAATAAGGTGGATGAACATATCAGAAAATGGAATGCCAAAACCCTGTCAGCTGCTGGAAGATTGGAACTCATCAGATCTGTCACTCAAGGAATTGAAGGATTCTGGTTCCAAGCTTTCCCTATTCATAAATCTGTCTTGGATAGGATAACCTCCCTTTGTAGAACTTTCCTTTGGGTGAGCAAGTTCTGTAAGGTTGCTTGGGAGGATATCTGCAAGCCCAAGGATGAAGGGGGGCTTGGTTTGAACCAGCCCCGTATTTGGAATCAGGCACTTTTGAGCAAGAACCTGTGGAATATTGCCTCAAACAAAGAAACTCTGTGGGTGCAATGGGTTCACTCTGTTTACCTTGATGGCAATGACTTTTGGACTTGGAGCCCTGGGAAAAAGGACTCCCATTTCTTCAAAAAACTGATTGAAATCAGGGACATGCTGCTACTCAAGTGTGGGGACAGATGGGAACTTGAAAATCAACTTTGTGATCAGGGTGATATATCAGTTACCAAGGTGTATGACTTACTCAGAACCAGGGCAGTGATGAGACCCTTGATGAAGGCTATTTGGAAACCCTACATCCCACCCAGATACTCCTTCTGTGCTTGGTTGATCTTCCGTAACAGGATTCCTACCAAAACTAGCCTTCATTTCATTGCTATGGAGAATAGATTATGTGAACTTTGCCACAAGGAGGAGGAAACTGGCCAACACCTTTTTTTCAGCTGTGAAACCTCCACACTCATCTGGAATGCTGTTAGATCTTGGCTTGAGATAGCCCCTGCCCTGTCTTCCCTGGACAGAGCCTTTACTTGGCTAAGGAGACTGAGGAATAACCATTGCTCTAAGAGGAAGATGAAAAGGCTGGCTATTCTCAGCACAGCCTACCACATTTGGAGATTAAGGAATGGTGTGTATTTTGACAACCAGGCCATAAATACTGTTGCTATTGTGTGCAAGATCAAGGTGGGGGTCTTTAAAATAATGAACAGGTTATATCCCAATGGTGGTTAAGGCCCCCCCCCCCTTGGATTTCATTGATTGGTCTCCCTGGATGTTGCTTGTGATCTTTGTGCTTACCCTTCCTATCCTTGTTGAGGATTTGTTGGGCGTTTACCCTGGTGGGATGCTGGACAGAGGGCTAACACTGGGGTCCCTTGGGTAACTGGTGTTATCCCTATGCCCAGTTTCTCTGGGGCTGGAAACATTTCAAATGTTAGAAACCCTCTTTGGAGGGTCTCTAACCTTTGTTATGGGTCCTTGGGGGTGATTTGGTGGGAAACAAACCAGGCTATGCTATCCCCTTCTGGAATTGTAGAGACTGGCTTGGGTCCAGGGTTTCTCTCTCTCCTGTTTCCCCCCCTCCCCTTCTTTTCTTTCCATCACCTTCCTTCTACTCCCACTTTTCTAGGAGGCAAGTTAAATAATATGTGCCAAATCACTCCTTGGATTTGATACCTGTTAGCTTACCTTGGCTCCTCTTTGGGTGGTTGGGTTCCTGATAGCTTGGGTGCTATTGGGGTGTGGAAACAAACCATACCCTATCTACCCCTTCTGGATAGGTAGGGAATGGCTTGGATCCAGGGCTGGAGGGTGTTCTCACCCTCTTTTCTTTCTTTTTCCCCTTCTCCCCTTCTTCCTTCTTCTTGCTTCTCCCTCCTTTCTTGGTCTTCCTCCTCTTTTGTCCCTTCTTCTGTTTTTGGAAACACGCTAAGTTTCACTCATCCAAACCCTCTTTGTTTTGATGTTTGAAGGTTGGTGTGTCTTCCCTCTGGTGCTGGGTGGGTTGGGGCCCCATTGGTTCTGTGGACTGGTGGGGTTGTGAGGAAACAAACCAACCTTTATTTACCCCTTCTGGGTAGTTAGAGGTTGAGTTGGGTCCTGGTTTGTTGGTGTTCCACACCTCTCCTTTTCCTTGTCCACCCCTCTTCCCCTTCTCCTTTCTTTTGCTTCTTCCTCCTCCTTTGCCTCTCTCTCTTTCCTTACCCTCCTTCTTCTGCCTCTGGGAACACATCTGGATGCACTCACCTATACCCTCCTTTGGTTGAGTGACTGTAAACTGGTGTGCCTCCCCCTACCTTTATGGTTTCATTTTGGTTATTTATGTGGGTGACTTGGTTAACATATCTCTGGCTTTGCTTTGTGATCCCTCTCATCAGAGATGAGCACCATCACCTTATGCCTGAATAACTCCACCCTACCTCATTTGTGTGAGACAGGTTTTGACTTGGTCCTATTCAGTGCAAATGGTCTTTTGGTGCTTCTCAACCTCTGATGGACTTGGTTCTGCTGTTTTTGTGTCTTGACACTCTAACCAGAGTTGGAGGGCCTACGTGCAGTTCAGCTTGCTTCACCTGTTCAATGGTCCTTCATCTCTGTCTACTACCTAGATACCTGTACATGGATTTGTGGTGCTGTGATGCTGTGTGCTTTAATTTAAGTATATATGTGATGATGTAAATTATTATATTGTGATTAGGGCCTGATGCTTCTTGTTTACTCTTGCTGGAAGCTGTTGGAAAATGAACTCGGCCTGGTTTTGCATGTGGAATGGAATGGTCCTTGCCTAGTCAGTGCACCTTGTGTTGCCGGTGTACACCTGTTTCAAATTGTGTTTGATGTAATGGAGATGTTTGTCTCGTGTTAAGACAACCTCCTAATCTTGGTCTTGGCTGGATTACACTTGTATTTGTTAGTGTTTTGTATTTGTATTTGTTACACTTGAGTTGTAATTTCTTTTATATACCTGTAACTTAAGCAAGTAACCACCTTGTGGTTAAGCTGTTGACATTTTGTATTCGTTTGATTTGGGTAATAATAATTTACATGTT